ATTCTAAGTTATGTAAAATGTGGGAAGATTCAGGCCCCTTGTTGGAGATGGAAATTTAGAAGCAGATGGCTTTAAGGAAAATCATATGGGACCAATTGATTCTTAAGGGATGAAAATCATCAAAGTGCTTCTGGGAGCTAGGATATGAGTTGCTTCACTTTATGGTCACATTGTTTCTGTATAATTGCTGAGAGGCAGTGAGGGGAGTATGGAGGAGGGGTGGGGTTAAAGAGATGTGATTTCTAATCCCAACTTTGCCTCTTATTTAAACTGAGGTCTTGTTATCTGTAATAAAGGTGAGACAATACTTATGATAGGATATCATGAAGGTTAGATTGAGAATGCTTTTATATAATGCTATGACTAGGTAAATAGAGTATAAGTGACAACTGTTATTATAAATGAATAAAACTAAAGGCCCATCATATGAAAGGACCCAGTTGGTGCTTTAACAATGATTTATTTAATGCTCACAGCATTACTTCTATTAGATAAATAAGGAAAAGAAACCTTAAAGATGTAAATCACTTTTTCAGCCTAGTCATTCAAAAAGCCTGTGATTGATTGCTATATGGCAGACACTGTTCTGGAAGCCAAGACTACTCAGATACAGCCAGTCTAGGGTCACATAGCTGATAATGTTGTTGTTGTTATGTGCCGTCGAGTCGTTTGCGACTCATAGTGACCCTATGTACAACAGCCCTAAACCCTGCTCTATCCTGTGCCAATTGCACTGCCTCTGACACCCCCATCCCGATTACCCCAGTCACTGAATCAATCCACCTCATAGAGGGTCTTCCCCTCTTGCGCCATCCCTCCACCCTCCCAAGCATGATGTCCCTCTCCAAGGACCTGTCCCTCCTTGCAACATGCCCAAAGTATGTCAGACGAAGCCCCAGAATCCTTGCCTTCAAGGAGTAGCTTGGTTTAACCCTCTCCAGGATAAATCTGTTTGTTTTCTTGGCAGTGCATGGTACATTCAATACTCTTCTCCAGCACCACAGCTCAAAGGCATCTATTCTCCTTCTGTCCTCCCTAGTCATTGTCCAACTCTCTCATGTATAACAAGTGATTGCAAAGACCATGGCCTGTATCAGGCACACCTTAGTCTCCAGAGAGACCCGTTGCTCTTGAGTACTTTAGAGAGGTCCCTATCAGCAGACTTTCCCATTGCAATACGTTTTTTTATTTCCTGGCTGCTGGTGCCAAGAGTGTTGACCGTGGAGCTGAGCAAACTGAAGCTGTGAACAATCTCAATCTCTTCACCATCCATCCTGATGCTGCCAGTTGGTCCAGTGGTAAGAATCTTTGTCTTCTTGACATTGAGCCTCAGTCCATAATGAAGGCTGCAGTCCTTGACCCTCTGCAGCAAGTGCATGAGGTCCTCCTCAGTTTCAGCAAGCAGGGTTGTATCATCTGCATAACACAGATTATTAATAGATCTTCCACCAATCCTGACGCCACAATTCTCCTCATAGATCCCAGCCTCCTGGATAATCTGCTCTGCATGTAGGTTGAAAAGGTATGGAGACAGGACACATCCCTGGCGTACACCCTTCCAATTTTGAACCATGCAGTGTTACCCTGCTCTGATAATGATAGAAGTTAATTGAGTACCTACTATGAATGAGATTTCTGTTCTAAACACTTTGTGTTGTATTAGCTCAAAGGAGTGCATTTTCAAATACATAAAACTCTCTTAAGTGGGGCAAATAATTTTAAAAATGAGGATACTGCAACACCAGCAGGTTAGGGAAGGAAAAGAGAGTGTTAGAGACTGGGGCAAACCAGAAATGTCTAAACCAGAAAATGTCTAAAGGGAAAGCTATTACTGTTTTACTTCATTAGTGGCATGAAGGATTAAGGGCCTACTTTCCCAAAAAAAACTAGAAATGTGCATTTTTATGAGATACTGGCATTTCTAATTATTGACAATTTTCTTTTAAAACTATAACAATAGTTATAGTTTTGGTGTGTTGGTGGCCCATGGTAAGAAGCTGTCCTTTAATCCTAAAGGCATGCAGTTTGAATCCACTGGCTGCTCCTGGGGAGAAGGATGGGCATTCTCCTCCCATGCAATTAACTGCCTCTGAAAACAACTGGAGGATCGGTTATGGGCCGGTTCTGATTCCTCAACACACATCACCAACAATAGCAAGGCATTGCCTAAGTCAAGTGAACATTTCTGCAGGCTAGATTCAGAATGCATGCCTGTAATAGGCAATCTTTGAATGAGATAGCCTTCAGGAGCCTATGGAGAGAAGTCTTGGGGAGAAAGAAGCTGGAGGAGGAATAGGCAAAGGGCTCAGAGACAAAAAGAAAACTAATTGAGAAAGACCCTCAATGAGATGGATTGGCAGTGTGTCTGCAACAATGGGTATGTCAGAGATTATAAAGATGGTACAGGTTAGGACAGGGTTCAGACTGCTTGTTCATAGGGTGACTAAACAACACCTAACAACAACAGCACAACACAGATGGCAAGGATTGCTGTTTGCCATTGTGTACCTTCCCAGGTACCAACTGTATGACTCTGTCACATGGATTTAGAATGCAGGAATTTATAGGTAAGAATGCCATGGTGAACCCATTTCCCTGAAAATGCATCCCCTCTGTTCCCTACTCTCACGTATCTGAGACCCTGTCATGTTAGAATTGTGTACGGCTTGATGATTGTTGTTCCCTTTCAGGCAGCTATGACTTGTTCCTACCACATGGACAAAAACTGAAATAAGAGCAAAAACAATTTGCAACTTCAGAGGCCAAATTCAGTGTCCATTTTCGCTCTCCAGGTTAACATTAACCTTAAGGTAAACGGAGCCACTCCTCCTTGAGGACTCAGTAAATAGGAGTTGAGGATATCTGAAGGTGTGGAGCAGGCCATTTGCTTGCAAGGAAGGGAGGAGCCAAGGTCAAGATTTCGTATACATTAGTAGTCCTCTTGACTTTGCCAAGAATGTGCCTGTTGTCTGGGAGTATTCCACTCAACAGGGTTCAGCTTTCCCCTGTCAGTTACACTGAACACAGCTTTCTGCCCCTGTCCATTGTCCCACTGAGCACAAGGGTAGTCACGTTTCACAAGGAGAGAACCAAGTAGGAATCTCTGACCACTTGCTTTTCTCATGGGGTGTTTGTGAGCATTTGGTACAATTATATTTATGAAAATGCTTCAAAAAGCCTAAATCGCTATGCCTTATTTGAGTTTATTATGAAATTATTTGTAGGAAGCATCCACAGTTACAAACATCCTATTATCAGTTTTTGTGTGCAAAGGGGGTAGGAAAAGGTAGAAAGGTGCCGAGGGAAGATGATTCCCCACAATGGCATAAGTTCTGATGAGCTTGTTATAATGATATATTCCTTTCTTTTTCTTTTTTTTAAAATTATTTTAATGAAAGTTTACAGAGACTTAGGGTTTCCAGTCATTCATTGTTGTATTTTTTCTCCCTGCCCACTCCCTCCCCCACAATGTATTCCTTTCATGTGGTATTCCAAATTGTTCGAATCCCTGTAGGAAACAAGATGGTGTGGGTGTGGGTGTGGGTGCATGCATGTGCATCCATTCCTGGTGGTATCAATGATTAATTCTGGCTGCTAGCGGAAAGGCTACAGGTTCTAGTCTACCCACAAGTGCTTTGGAGAAAGAATTGATAATTCCCCAAAATTTAGCCATGGAAAACCCTTATGGAGCTACCATGAATTGGAAAGACTTCACAGCAACTGGCTGGTTGGTTGGAGACACACACAGCTACATATGCACACACACCCCCCAGGCTATATAATTTTAAACTCATTAACCCAGTAATCTTATTTTTGCTTTTATCTTAAGAAAACAAATCTAAATAAGGAAAAGGTCTTCTTACATAAAGAATGTTCATTTCAGAGCTATTTATATAATATAAAAACTGAAAGCAGCTTACTTTTCCAACAACAAAGTTCTGATTGGTTAAATTCAGGCACATATCTTCAATAGAATATTATTACATAGCTATTAAACATCAGAAACTTGAAAATCTTGCCACAGCCAAAAGAATGTATGATCTGATGCTCAGGAAGCACGAAAAGATACCAGAAAATTGTTTGTATATTATAATTAAAATAATATAAGGATAATTGGGCTTAAGAACAAAACACATGCAGGTCAAAGTTGCTATGCCAGGGTAGAAAACAGACAGATGACTTCCCATCCTACCTTATTTTTCAGACTTAATGTTTTAATAATAATGAAGTTGAGTTTCACCCCCACAAAGCCAAAGACAGTAGCAAGAAGACTGTAGGCATCCAAGTAGAGAGTTGAAATGGCAAGAAAGGTTGGTATGGTTTTAGGAGCTAAGGAGGAGAAAGCGTTAGGAGGGGTGACTTTATGGCCTTAGATGTGACGAGAACATGTATTTGTTAATTAGGCCGGTGCCATTCTGGAATGCTCAAAGATAAACTAAACACATCATTCGTTGTTGATTAGTAAAGTAGGAGACTTGGGATCTTGTTAAATTGACTCTAAGTCAGTCTTAGACTCCAGGAATGACAATTCTAGGAACTTTCATGCCAGCAGATCGCTACAGTGGAAGGTGATCAATGGTGATGGAACAGTTAACAGACCTCCTCCAAGCACCTCATCTACACCCTCTGGGGCTAACTCCCTCACCTTGGAAGGCTTCGAGCTTTGTTCTGAGTGACTGTCTCCAGACACTTGCTTGCTTTAATAATAAGATTGTTTACCATACTCAGCTTGCTCCTAGGTATCCCAGGAGGGATAAAACAAGGCCAGGGTTGGCTGACTGAGTCCCCAAGGTCATACTCAGTGGCAAAAGATGGAATCAGCTCCCTCCCCAGCTTGCACCAACCATGGTGGTGGAGTGTCATTTTATAGACCAAAGCCTATTTCCTTACCTTGGAATCAGAGTTCACCACCCACATGAGCAAGAGAGGGGGTCCCCCTGCAGGTAGATCCTTGTAACTGCTACCCCTCTCCTCTTCCTCCAGGGAGGCCCAGTTATTTCCCCAGAGCCTCCTCCCAGGCTGGGGAGATGCTGCCTTGTGAGACTATGGAAAGCGAGGAGAGGGCAGATTCAGAAGAGAGAGAGGACAGTTCTGTAGAAGATCCAGGAGAAATCATCACTCTGGCTTTTGTGAAAGAGGACACTGAGGTACAGAAGGGGCTTCAGAATGACCATCAAGAAGGCAAGAAAAAGAAGAAGAAAAAGAGGTTAGGATTGAAAGATGGAAGATGGGGGCCTATATTGGTGAGAACAGAAGGGACTTGGGAAGGAGGGAGACTTAGCTGTCAAAGTCAAAGAGAAGAAAGGCAAACGTTATGTGTGAGATTGTCAAAACACACCACTTGAGGGTCTTAGAAATACCCACTTTTGATGTTCTAGTTCACAAATAACAGGTGTGTAATCTAAACACTTCTGTCTTTTCTGTCTTAATTTCTAATAATTTTATTTGTGTCTGGAATGCTTTTTGGTTTGTTTTCTTTTTGTTTTGTTTTTTAAATGGGTGGAGAGAGAGAATTTCTGTTGCCATGTTTTTACATAGCGCTGTTGTTCTGAGATTTTAGTACATGCAGTATTTATTGGGATCTGACCACAGCTTCTGCATTCCAATTTTGTATACTATTTTCTTGTGCTCTATTCTGTTCTGGGGGAAGAACACCTAGGAAGATCACCTAGGACTGATGCCTGAGAGCTTGCACACCTCGTAGCTTCTCTTAAAGGTGGAAGGTGAGGGAGACAATCAAGCATTTTTGTCCAGAATAGTTTTCAATTCATGTCCCTGATGGACTGTTGGAGTAAAGGATTGTGCTGGTGATGATGTCCATATCAGCTGCAAGTCAAATTAGTCATAACTGAAAATCAGACTTTCTACCTCATAGACACAGTAATAGTACCGTGGCTTATTCCCTCGTCACTTTATACCTCTTTGAAGCCATGTCTTCAGGAATAGGAAAAGTAAAATCAGACTTGCTGTGACCGACTGAGGGTCAGGCTGCCCCATCAGGTTAGATTTTATCTGTTCTTCCTTGAAAGGGCATTTCTGGATACAGTCCCCTTTCTGCAAGTGTGTCTGTCTCTGTCTTGCTGCTCTCCTTCTTCTCTTTTCCAGATGATTGGTGATCAATCTCTCCAACTGCCGATATGAGAGCGGTAAGCATCTGTATTTAAAGGATCAGTGCTGGAGTCTCCTTGGATTCCTCCAAAGAGCCAGAATGGGTCACTCTTATATTATCCTGAGGATGGAAAGGGGTGCCACCAGAGCCTGTTGTTTGATTCTCTCACCAAGATTAACTGTTGGAGGCCTTGGGAGTCTCTTTCCAAGAACTATGGGTTTTAACCACAGTGGTGTACATTTACTTCAATGTTTCTAATTTATTTATATGGTGGTTTGGGGACATGATTGCTGGAAAGGCAGTTTTTGCTGTAGTCAAAGGCTCTGTGTCAGAACACATGTTATACACTGGCAGTCCACAATATACTAATTTATACTCCAAGGAGCTCTGGTGGTTCAGTGGTAAGGAGTTGTGCTGCCAACCCAAAGTCACCCGGTTTGAATCCACCAGTTGTTATGTGGGAGAAAGATGGGCGGTCTCCGGTGCAATTTACTTCTGCTAGAGGATAAGCTGCGAGTCAGTAGTGATTTGTCTGTACATACCACCACCAATTTATACTTTAGAACACAGTGTTGCTGTTATTTTTACATTGTATTTGAGTGATTTAGGCTGGTAATGTACCCTCCTGTTCACAACAGGCACTTTCTCCTTCTGAGCCTCTTAAAGATATTTGAGTTTATGCTGGAGCCAGCCTCAGTTATTACTAATACAATAGGGACAGAAGAAGAAGGATGTTTGAGCATACATATAGTTTTGAAATGCACTGTGTAATTTTTGTTTTCTGTCAGTTTATCTCACTAATCAAACTTGTCTCTGGCTGATGTTAAGGGTTAGTTTGTATTCCTGGAATTTTCGATGGCCTAGAGTTTGGAGGAAAGCCAGAGGCCTGCTTCCTGGCAAGGGAAAGCCAGAGTGGGTAAAATATTTATCAGCAGTAACATTCTGTGGGGAACTGTGCACAGGGGCTGGATTCTTCAGTAGCTTTCTGCTCGCAATATTCCTTTCTTGGCAGTGGTGTGTGCCCAGACTGGACAATGTGGCTGCCAGTACTAAGGAGACGAGTTCTTTTGCTTAATCTGTGAGCAACTTGAAATGCAATCTCCCCACTCTGTGCTCTTTCCCCACTTCCTGGGTGAACAGACCTCTTCTTCTCTGACTCCATCACAGTGCGCAGAGCTGCCCAGCAATATGGCCTTCGAGAGGGAGGGGAAAATGATGACTGGACTCTCTACTGGACAGACTTCTCGGTGTCACTGGAGCGGGTGATGGAAATGAAAAGTTACCAGGTATCTGGTCCAAAGGTGGTCTTCAGTATAAGTGTGGCATCTGTATAACGAGGCTGCCAGTAAGGCCCTCAGTTTTATAACTGTACCTCGAGGGAATCTCTTGGATGTGTCCATGTCCCTTCTTCATTCATGGTTTCTGACTTCCTTTGCAGAAAATCAACCACTTCCCTGGGATGAGTGAAATCTGCCGCAAGGACTTGCTGGCCAGAAATATGAGTCGCATGTTAAAGATGTTCCCCAAAGAGTTTCACTTTTTCCCCAGGACCTGGTGTCTTCCTGCTGAGTGAGTGCCTGTGGGTGCTCCCACCTCCTGTCCCGACCCCAAGGTTGCATTTCCCTCTTGCCTCTGTTGCTCTGGTTGCTCCTGCCTCTGTCCCTACTGTTCAGGAAAAGAAAGACTAAAGGGTGTGTCCAAGGTTGTGAAAACACCAGACTTTGCCTATAAAACCAGAAGACGTGTAGGCTAGGTGCTTGTGGTTGGGATGAACGTTGTTCTGACCCTGAAAGTTGTTGATTGTGAGCTCAAATGTGTAATTGACTTGTTTGAACCATCTCTCTGCAATTACTGAAATGTGAAGCACCGGGAGCACCTCTGGCATAGGAAGTGTTTTCGCTCTCAGGTTAGCAGCAGGCAGGGTGCCTGGCCCTTGTTCAAGGGCAGTGCCTAGAACAGTGGATGGCACCTAGCCATTTCCTTCTCTGGTCTAACATTATCAGTCTTGAAATTGAACATCCATTCCTGGTACGTAAAGTACTGTTGACCATTAAGAAGTAGAAATGTGAGAAAACAGGGACATGAGCCGGGGTACAGTCCAGTGGTTGGGATGAGGCAGGAAGGTGACTGCATCTGCATTGCCATCAGGACTCTTATAATGGTCAAGGTGCCAGAGGAATCCCATCATCCCCTTTCTACCCAGTGTTCCCATCCAAAAGGGAGAGACAGGCCAAAATCAGGAGCTCCAGGTTTAATAGCTCCTCTTAATTTGACTGAAAAACTTTCAGAACTTCCCCTCCCTTAAAGCAACTAAGAATGGAAGGTATTTGCTGTCAGGTCAACAACAGGACTTCAAGGCCACTAAGGAACACCACAGTTAAGTGGCCTGCTCAGTGGTCAGCACGTCCCTTTACATTAAATTGTGAAACAAGGGGTATAATAGGACTTACAATGTATTAATTTGATTTCTTTACTTCTTCTGAATGTCATTTCTTCAAAGTATTCTCAAAGATAGACTTTTCCCTCCCAGGCTGGCACAGAGGTGATACAGCTAAAATCCTGAAGTCCAGAGGGGAATAAGATTTGTCCAAGGTCTTGTCAGGGTTTGAGCTAAATCAAAATACATACACACCCAGAGAGCAACATTATTTAGGTCGTTGTTACCTTCACCAGGTACATGGTGTGATACTTTTGCCAGATATCAGCACTTGGCCCACATTATCACATCATTGACCACCATATGATAATAATCCAAGATAGATGTCATTATCTTCACTGCATAGATGATGAAACAGGCTCAGAGAGGTCAGATCACTTGCAGAGGGTCACACAGCTTATAAGTGATATTATTGTCTCTTTAACCTATGCCTGCCTTCCCTCCAGAGGCCGCAACTCTCTGCTACATATGTGCTAACAGCTCGCTAGCTGCTGGAACTCTGGATGGCTGTCAGTATGGGAACTTTTGGCACATGAGTTCGTGTTTCTTTCTGCCTAGAGATCTAGCTTTGTTTTCCACTACGTCTCAGTTAAAGATGTCTCTTGTTTCCATCCCGGTAGTTGGGGAGATTTGCAGAACTACAGCAGGTCAAGAAAAAATAAGACATATATTTGTAAGCCAGATTCAGGCTGTCAAGGGAGAGGTATATTCATCACGCGGAAAGTGAGAGAAATCAAGCCAGGGGAGGATATGATCTGTCAGCTCTATATTTCAAAGGTATGTTCTCTGCAACAATGAAAGCATTTTTTTCCCCCAGAGAAAAGCGAACTGAGAGGAGAGGGATAGGGAAGAAAATGTGCAACAATGAATGAATGGTAGTCCTAGTTCTCTGTAAGCTTTCATTAAAATATCAATTTTTTTCTTTATAAAAGGTATTCCTCACTGTTAGTATTTGTCACTCATGACAGCCTGAGGCTCTGGCTTCAGTGGGCAGAGTGTGAAATAGGGGGCTGAAAGGAGGTGAGGTGAGGCTGAGTCCGGTCGTCGGCATTGGACTTTGCCAGGCCAAGCCTTCAGGACAAGGACGCTGATAAGCTCCGGGGCAAGAGTGGTTCCTTATCCTTGCAGCTCCCCCTGCACCCTTGTCAGTTGGTCTAGCCCTACTGGGCTGGCCCTTTCCTCTCAAAGGTGACAGTGAGGTGAAAAACCTTTGGTTTGTAGAGGCCTCGCCTCATTTAGGGATGGGAGTTTTCCTGGAGAAACAGTGCTAATTGTCCTTGCTCCCTTGCTGGAGGTCAGAGAGCTGTCCTAAGACCCTGCTGCTTTGGAAACCTCTTATAGTGTGTGTGGATGAGGAAGAATAGAACTGGATGCCTGGGATGAGAATGGCCAGGAGATAGCATTGCAGGGAGCCTGCTTGAAGAACTACAGCAGTCCTGCAGCCGCTGACATGGCCTTTCCTCAAAGGATTTTTTTTTAATGTTACTTTGTTTAGTTGCCAAGGTAACTCTTGGCTGTGCTGACTTGTGCCATTTGACAGATCAAGAAATTGAGGATGATGCAGTTCAGTGATGTCTAAGAAGTCATGTATTAGGCCAGGACCCAAATCTTCTCCTTTTCCCAGTCAAACCTGCATTGTATCACATTAGATGTTGTTGGAACTAATGCCAAGAGAACAAGGTGGGAGTTTCTATTTCTCCTCCGATGCTAGAGAATTCTGGTGGCCTAGTGGTAAGGAGTTGGGCTGCCGACTCAAAGGTAGGCAGTTTGAATCCACTAGCTGCTCAGTAGGGAAAAGATGAGCAATCTCCTCCAGTGGAATTTATAACCTCTAACACCTGCTGGAAAGTCAGGTATTCCATTCTGACTTGACAGCACAAAACAACAACTGCCTCTGATGCTGTGTGCCTCTTGTCCTCTTCTCCCAGCCCTTTATCATCGATGGGTTCAAATTTGACCTCCGAATTTATGTGCTATTGACATCCTGTGACCCTCTCAGGATTTTTGTGTACAACGAAGGCCTGGCCCGCTTTGCAACAACGTCTTACTCCTACCCGTCCACAGGCAACTTGGTGAGTGAAAAGAACACACTGCCTACCCCAACCCTTTTAAAAGGGTCAAAAATTCTAGTTGAGCCACATTATCAAACATTAAAAGGTTATCACTTGTTGAGTCCGTAAGAGATGTCAGGTGTGTAAGTTCTCTCATTAAGAGATCTCAGAAACAGGGGTTATCATCACCATTTGGGGAGCTCTGATACCCTAGTGAGCAAGGAGTTGCCCCATTAACCCAAAGGCAGGTGGTTCGAATACATCAGCTACTCCAAGGGAGAAAGATGGACTACCTTCTTCCCTGTGATTTACAGCTGTGAGTTCTCACTCGACAGCAATGAGTGAGTGTGATCACCATTTTACAGAGGAGAAAATGAAGCCCCTAGGCTGTAAGGGCCCTGTCCAAGCTCACCTAGGTAGGAAGAGGTAAGGCTGGGACTGGAGGCTGTGTCTCCCTGACTCCAAAGCCCCATGATTCAATGGTGCTCTGCAGAGAAGGTTCCAGGTGAGGACCTCCTGGAGCTTCCTTTAGGCTGGGCGTCAAGCTTGGGAGGATTTGGAATTTCTTCGTGCGCTCTAAGCCGTCAGGTACCCCACTTCTTTTCTTTTCTATCCTTTTAAGTCTTGGGGCCTGTGGGAGATCACAGAGAGAGCAGGATCCTGCCCTTCTGCCTGACCCCACAGTCTTGTGTCTCTTTTCCCAGGATGATATCTGCATGCACCTGACTAATTATTCCATTAATAAGCACAGTTCAAATTTCATTCAAGATTCTCACTGTGGCAGCAAGAGGTAAGGAAGCAGCTCCCCCCGCCCCTTTTTTCTTTTTCCCTTTCTTTTTCCTGCCAATCTGAGAGCTGCCCTCTGGAGTCCTCCCCAAACCCTGCCAGTCCCAGAGGAGTTTCCATCCTGGGTGATATGACCTCAGAAAACACTGCTGTGCCACTAAATCCAGGACGGACTCTTCCGTCTCTGCCCTCTGGGCTGTTAATCATTAAAAGAAGGCCTCATTGTAAACCCTGGGAGGCTGGAAGGAGAGATAAACATGAACAGTTTCCCCAGCAGGATATACACAACACACCAAAACATACTCGTGTTACCGTTGGCCTGTCCGCCTTTTCCCAGTCAACAGCCAGTCAGCCCTGAGGAGAGCCTGCCAGGCCGTTTTCCTTGGCCTCTGGTCCCCCAGGGTGTTGCTCCCTTACAGAATCTCAAAGGGCGTTTCACGACGCCCAGGGTGGTGTGACCTGTGACTTTTAAGGTTCCTCTAGAAAAGGAAGAAGTGGGTGAAGTCACAAAAGTAGCCCCACAAAGAGACTTTTTCATTCATGTTATTATATTTTCACGTCCCATTTGAATTTTAAGAAAAAGCACCATGGCAGACTCTGAACTGATCAAGTAAAAGGAGAAAGTGTTCATGGCAGCCCTGTGTGCTTATTGCCTGGTGACTGCAGCAATGAGTATGTGAGAGATGGCGAGGATGGCACCGGGTAGAGCAAGGGTCAGACCTGTGTTCACAGGGTCACTTGTGAGTCCCAGCTGACTTGATGGCACCTAACACCAGGGTGTATTGAGCCCTGGTGATGCAGCTGGTAGGCACTCGACTGCTGAGAGGTCAGCGGTTCAGGCCCACTAGCCACTATGTGGGAGGAGTGACAGTCTGGGTCTATAAAGGTTATAGTTTCATGGGGAGTTCTGTTCTGTACTGGAGGGTTGCTGTGAGCCTGAACTGATTCAACAGCAAGGGGGTTTAGTGCATCTTGAAGGAGCCCTGGTCACACAATGTTAAACACTCAGCTATTTACTAACAGGTGGGTGGTCTAGATCTACCCAGGTGCTCTGCGGAAGAAAGGGCTGGCAATCTGCTCCTGTAAAGACTACAGCTTAGAAAACCCTACGAGGCAGTTCTCCTGCCACGTGCACTGACCATGAGTTCCAGTCAACTCATCAGCATCTAACAACAGTGTATGTTGGGGGATGTGTCAAGTGCTTTTTATGTGTTGTTGCTGGTGTGTGTGTTTAAACTGACTGTTCACAGTAACCCTATAGCAAAAGTACTGTGGTCTACCATTTGTTGGTGGGGACATTGTGAGTTAGATACCGTTTTCACTTCACAAATGGGGAGGCCCAAGACCACAGAGCTCTAAATGCTAGGCTAGGACGAGAACACAGTCCTGTGAGACCCCAGAGTTCATGTCCTTTCTGCTGCATGCCTCAAAGGGCTGATAAACATGCCATCAGTTTGGTTTCAGAGCATTGAAAAGGCATGTGACTTTTGTGACTCCTTTGGTGGTGCAGTTAAGAAAAGCAAATGGAAAATCGTTAGGTTTCACCTGCTTGAAGGATATTTGTGAAGCCTGGGAAGGAGGTCACCTCCTGCTTCCTCTTCTCCCCACAGAGAGGGCAGGCCTTTGCCACGACACCTGCTGGGGCACCTGGGAGCTGTGCTGGTGCTCAGGGCGGCCCTGGCTCTTAAATTTATGCTCTTAACCATCAAGGTATACTGTCTGTGCTAGTCACTCCCTGACTTTCTGCCAGGAAACTTTTTCTCCCCAACATTCAACATAGAGGCTTTGCTCATTCTCATCTCTTGGATTTTGCTCAACAACAACCTGTAATATCATTAAAAGTCCTTTTGTCTCTCGAGGCTGCCATGTAGCCTTCTCTGATCTAGTTGTAGGTTCTGGTTTGTTTACCCAATAAAGAATGGATAAAGCTCTTTTTTCTTTGGGCCTCTGCCTCCTCACCTATCAGATGAGGTTAGTTTCCATCTCTTAGGATGAAAAGTGAAAACTAAGTGTAACTATTCACATGCCAATTCTCTCACGTCAGGGCACCCTGTGGTCAGCATCCACCCTAGCCCCTAACTGTTCTTTGTTTGAGTCTTGTATATACTTAAGTCAACTATACGTAAGTCTCTTGAAGAATGGGCAGGTGCCTTGGCCCCTTGGCTACTGCCCAGAAGTGGTGCCTTCTTTCTTTCTCTTCTGTCTCTTTCTTCCTTTCCCTCTGACTTTTCTTCCTTCTTCCCATCTTTTGGGACAATATGATTCTCATATGATCTACCTCTTCTCCCCACCACCCTCCACAGCTTGAGGCCAACAGTGCTTCCGGTAAGGACTCTGTGGCAGAGACCATGTTATTATTATCTTTCATTTTCATTTCCAGGTTCCAGCAAAATACCTGGCACATCACTGGTGTGTTAAGCTGAATTGACTAACCACTTGGCATTATGAAATTACATAATAATATATACACACTGTAGTGTCTGAGTCATCAAGAAAAGGTTATGTTATGTTTTGTAACCTCTGTTACAAGAAGGCAGAGAAGTATATAATCTATTTTTGGAAGATTTATTTCCCAATTAGGCAAATTAAATACATTTTTTTGCACTTGAAATGGCTGGCTTCAAGTGATCCAGAAAATCAATTTATGATCAGGTTTTCATTTCTTGATAATGGCAAGTAGAGAAGGCAAACCTCTATGTTGAATAAGCGCTGGTTATCTGTCTTTATCTAAATGGATTCTTGGTTCTTTCATATGTGTATTGATTCCTTAAATGCCCTTATTCTCCCCCTGACGTGTGGTATTGCTTCATTGTACAAAGCTTTGCATGACCAGCAGATACGCATTGGCTGGTTGACCTTACTTCCTCTTATTTGACCCTAGTCACTTGGGTAATTTTCATGCTGTCTGAATGAATCATACCTCTTCATTTTCTGCCCATAATTTCCCTGTATCTCCTTCTGTGTTTCCATTTCCCACATACCTTCTCTCTGTACAGGTGAGGGTGTGGGGATATGTACCCACCTTTGCCTCTGTCAGGGTCACCCGCTCTCTGTACTGTCCAGCTCTGAGCTGATTGGAGCATCCACTCAAATATTTCCCATACAGAAAAGGCATCCTCTGATCTCCTGGGTAGTCGAGTGACCCACCGTATTGGCTTGGGATTGATGTATTCCTGGGATGTAGGATCCTTAGTGTCAAAAATTTGGGATGGTCCTGCTTTGCCTGGCACAGATGGTAACCCCGTCATGAAAATCCTGTCTGCCTTTCCCCTGTGGAGAGCCCCCAAACAACATTTATGTGCTGTTAGTGTCCCCAGAATTCCACCAGATGGCTAAGGAGGAATCCACGGCATTGTTGCTGTTAGGTGCCGGAGTCAGCTCTTCACAGCAGCCCTGTGACTAACGAACATGAGCCATGCCCAGCCCTGCACCATCCTCACAACCCCAGATCCACGCGAGCCTGTCGTTACACTCATGCAATCCATCTCATCTTAAAAGGCTCATTAAGTGATTCTGATGAACACCAAACAATTGCCACCAAAGCAAAAAACCATGAAGAATGTCTCAGGGGGTTCCCCCACCCACACACCCATTAAACTTTCCACTTAGCTTATCAAGTTGCTGCCTAGGTATTTTATTGTTGTTTTGATTTTTTTTTCTCTTATTCATTGTTGCACATTTTATTCCCCTTCTCTCCCCCTCAATACACCCCTTGTTCTAGATTGTTCTTATACCCTAGGTATGTTTTTGTGGGTCACAGTGAAAATATCCGAGTGTCTGCTATGTTTTCATGTTTACCACCACGTCTGGGCTTAGGGAGGCTTGGAGAATACGGCCCTGTAGCTCCAGTTGCTTCCTGCACTAATGTTGTCCTGGTGTTATCCCGGCCCCTGATGTTTCTCTCTACTGACTCTAGAGCTTTATCTTCTGCAAAAGGTTCTGGTTTCCAGCATGCCATGACCTTAGATGACACGGTATCTGCTGCCCTGCTTGTGGTTCCCTTCTAGGAAACTCTCCACCTTCAACGTCCACATGGAGACTCACGGCTACAACGTGCAACAGATATGGAGGGACATTGAGGACGTCATCATCAAGACGATCATCTCAGCCCATGCAATCATCAAGCACAACTACCACACTTGCTTTCCCAACCACACCCTCAACAGTGCCTGCTTTGAAATCCTCGGCTTCGATATTTTGTTGGACCACAAGCTCAAACCCTGGCTGCTGGAGGTAGAGAGGTGTAGGCGAGGGGTGAAAACACTGTCCTCAGTGTTACTCAGGTCCACCAGCTTTTCCTGACTGTTGTTTGATTTCCTTTTTTTATTTCTAAGTGGGATAGTATTTCTAAGGTTATGATTTTATTTTTTAAATTGTGAGTTGAGTGAAAGTTTATAAAGCATATTAGTTTTTCACTCAATCACTCCTAGAAATTTTGTTTTACGTCATTAATTATAGAATCCGCAGTGTCTGATTGTCTCCACATTGCTTATTGCCTTTCTGTTCACCCAACACCTGACTGTTGTAATGAGCTTTTAATGGCTACTTCTTCCCTTGGTGAGGGGCTTTAGTCTTAATCAAGAAGTGGCCACCAGAGGGAGCTAGACGGCAGGGAATTAGAGAATCCAGTTTACCTCCTAAGGTCCACCCAGACTTAGAAATGCTGATCAGAGTGAGCCTAAAGACAGAGCTACCTTTTGTGAAAGAGTAATTTCCTTCAAAGGTAGTATTTTCTCCCTCAAAAATATAGGTCAAATTAAAAGGTCAAGATGACGATGAGATTGGGCGTGTTCAGTGTGGTATGGCCAAAGCCAAGTGTTCAGTATGAGACAGAAATTGGACTAGACTGTTCAGTGCCAAGTGACATCAGAGACCTGGTGTCTGTTGCCTTGGGAGTGGGTTAGGGAGCTACTCAGGCGCATGAGAGGGTGAAAGGAGAAGAAAACAAGCTTTCTGGTCGCTACCTCTTTTCTTGATTGGATTTGTCTTCAAGAATTCTCAAGGAGGCACATCATGGGGCAGAAAGTGTGGGTCCAAGTCAGGAGTGCACTACCAGATGCCAATGACCCAGAGCCAGACTTTAGAGCTAAGAACCCAACATTATGGATCAGATTTCTCAGGTTTAACCCACCCTTCCTTCCTTCCTTCCTTCCTTCCTTCCTTCCTTCCTTCCTTCCTTCCTTCCTTCCTTCCTTCCCTCCCTCCC